GGTCGTATATTGCTATTTATACCGGAATAAACTACAACCACCTTTTAAAATGTAAACACAAAATCAACAAAAAATATCGCTCTCACTGTTTTGGATCGCGTGGCGATTCACTACTATGAATATTCGGTTGCGAATTGATATGCCCATTAACTGTTCGTTTTCAGATGAATTGTCAGTGAGCTGAAATATTGTGTAGACGTTACCGCTCTCTACGTCAGTCCATGACAATACCCGATTTCCTTTTTCCTTTTCATCAGGCCCGAAAAGATCATCTCGTGATTTTTAGTGTACATGCAGTTTTCTGGATCAAGGTTCTGTACTGTATAATGATAACGATTCACGTTATGTCTAATATCCGCTAATCAATAGTCACGATGCAAAATGGACGAATGAACATGATTAGGGTAATGTACTTTCATCGTGATATTATATTGCTATATTTAAAAAGATTGCTGTAATTGCTTGAAACAGACCAATTAGCCCGCCTTAATTTTTACGGGAGGTATTGAAGATAAAATTTGAGTTTAAAGGTAGTAAACCTATAACTTAATATTATCCATAATATTCAAAATTAAAAACACAGATATTAGAATTCAATGTTGGTCCATTCCATTCAATATAGATGTTGTTATCTTATTAAATGTGAAAATATGGGATCTGAATATCCAATATTTAAGACACGAAGAAAATTTATAGTCAGTACACGAGTCAAGCACTTTATGGTTTCGGTAGTCATTTGTTATTACGAAAGAAAAACATATCCCAGGGGATAATGCGACAGTTATTAAAAATGGCTGATTCACAAACGACAAATTCAAAACACCCGCGAAGAATAGACTAAACAGGCGCAAACTACTGCCGTTCAACTTGGACTGTTCACGTATTTCAACGAACATAATTAATTAGAAATTACAAATTGTATTATTTGTTTGATGGAAATCCCTTTATATACATTCATTTTAATTAATATGTGATTTTAGACTCGTTACCGTTTAAACATACATTAATATTGTAACATTATGCAAGAGCTAAATCTGTCTATTGCAGGTCTTTCTTTAGGCCTGAAATGTTATCTAAATTATTAATTAGACATTAATTAACCTATCCAAACCATAATCAGCTCTAGATGTCATCGCTAGCCTGCAAGCTTTAGTGGATTGTGAGCCGATTTACTGCATAACTTTGCTTCACGATTTAACGATTAAATGGATAATCGAGACTAGGCGGAAATTCAATCGCTTTGTTCTCGGTTCATAGTGGATCAATTTGAATGAATTTTCAGCAAATTGCCTTTACATTATCTAGTTTTTAACTATTATAGTGAGAACTGCCAACTCGTTATCGAATCTCCCATAATGTATCTTTAAGTTTAAAAAAATAGAGAGCTATACGGCCTTTAAAACGTCTTATTAGTAATGAACTTTGAATAACAGATCGGGCCTATAACGTGACGACACATTAAATTTGGTGATATCATAATGCTATATTTATACAGATTGATGTAATTGATTGAAACAAACAAACCAATTATCTTCGTGCTGACGGGAAGTCTGTTTGTATTGTAGATAAGGTTTGAATTTAAAGAAATGACCAGGCCAATGACGCCAAGCCACATTAAATTTGATTCTTGTTTTGTGACGATCATGACGAAGTAGACCACCATTAATTTTCACCATCTCGATATATCTTGATCTGTTGAAGACGCCGACCTATTGTCTCAAACACTCATCCACAAGAACTTGTATTGGGCATCTACAAGAATCCTTTGTAATTGTAATACTCTGACCCACTCTTCGTGGGCTTTTTAATACGGAGGCAGTTTCTCTCTTGAGGTGCAGTTTACTTACCCTTTGAGCCCTCCTTTTTACGCGCTATGTTTTAAACTGAATGAAAATATTAAATTTGTTTGCTCGGTATGCCGGAGGCAAACATTAATAAGCACTACTGGCTTTTTCACGTTCGTCAGGAATAATTGTCGCGTTTTAACCACGTGCATAACAGTTTCGGGCTGTACTTCTGGTGCTCAGACCCGTGTGTGTCCAAAACACGTACTGTGGGTTGTGAGCTAAGCTTAAGCTATTTTCTAGGTGTTTGGTCAAAGATGGCAATCATGGTATGGTCAGTTTTAAAAATTACAGGTCTGTATTTCAAGACACCATTGCCCCAGTAGCGGATAGTAGCGGAAGCGCAAGCCCCCGACCGGATTTTTTTTTTATAGAAAATCTCCAAAAATTAAACTGAAAGAAAACTTGACATTGACCTGTGACCAGGGCCCCCCATCCAATGAAGAGACCCCCAGTGCAAGAAAAGGGATCCTGAATCAGAGAAAGGGACTTTTTTGACTTCAGTGCAATGGCCCCCGAGTCCACGAAAAGGTTCCTGAATCGGAGAAAAAGGCCCCGTTCACATCAATGCAAAACTCAATAGTAAGGAAGATGCTTCACCCGATCATTCATCAGTGCCGTTATCCCTAGGACAAGTTCTCATTAATTAATGTTTCCTTATCTTTGTTCAACGCAACGCATTGGGCGCTGGATATTCGCTAGCCTTTGATATCAACATTCTTTAGTTGATAGCATATGTACGTTTGTTGTTTATTACTTGCAATGTCTGTGTATATTCTGCGGGTGTGTCTTGTGGGTTTTTGTTTATGTATGGTGCCATCCCCATGCTCTAGTGTCAGTCGCGAATCACCAGCGTTTACCTATCTGGACTGCAAGTACTGCCATGCCCCCAGTATTTTGTTCAAAAATATTAATTTTTACATGGCTAAGAACTTAAATACATTCAAACACTTTGCTTTATTTAAAAATACATTATGCAAGAGCTAAATCTGATTATTTAGGCTTCAGATGTCATAGAAATTATAAATTAGATCTTTATTTACACAAAATCAACTCTGTAGACCCACGGATGGCTTGGATTCAGCTTGGATTTATACGGGATTTCGTTGACTGATTTAATTCTAAATGGCGTCGTGGGCGGAGATTAACCGTTACGTTGACGTCATACTCCCGGATCGAGGCTAAAATCCGATAGAGTGTACGAAGTGAGGCCGCTGTTCAGCGATGCCTTAACAAATGACATCTAAACTATCTATCTAAAGTGCAATAAACTAAACACAGATAATGACAAATTATACAATTCCTAGAGACCGTGTGATGACTAATACAGACGGACAGGTAAAATATTTTTATTTCCCGGATAGCAGGCACGACGCCACTGGTGTATACCTATAAATTTATCATAATTGTATTATAATATTATGTCCTATATTCAATTGATTTAATGCATGCCCAAAATACAAGTAAGAATGAAAATTTACCCTCTCACTCATTTTGTCCAATTTTTATAAAAATCCAAAAAGGTAAAACACAAATTCGGATATGATGACAGCAGACAAAAGACAGCAGAGATTATGTAGGTGGAGTTAACGCCTGTCAATCAAACGATTGGCCATACTAAGAAGCGGTGAAGATGGAATTCAATCCCATTTCTAGTCAAAAATTACACTGGTGATAACTATGTTCAGAATAAAGTAATTTGACTGAAATTTTCAATATATTCTTCTTTCATCATCTATTTTTGAACTTATTGCAAAAATGGCTAACTCCTTATAAAAAATCTCCCATAATGTATCTTTAATTTTTTTCATACAAATTTATCCAACAACTGAAATAACTTTTCACTTAATCTCTGGAGGCCCTCCAGCTTACGAAGGTCCCTGCTGCAGCCTCTAAGGCCCGTGAATGATATTGATCTCGAGGAAGTCATCAACATTTTTCCAATTCAGAAAGCTTGAAATATTTTATGAAATATTTTGCTTGTTCATTACCTCATAATTAATGGTGTGGTATTTTACGTGTCTTTTTTGTTTCAATGTAGCGGGTTATTAAGTATTGCAACACCACTCTCCAATTAGCGCTCCCAATCTTTATGGGGCAAAATTTCCCCCAGAGTACATTGCATGGCGTATGTCCGTCTTCATTATAAAACCTAGGACCCCTCTTCGTGTAACTCCAATGCTGTGAGTAACCTATATGGCGAATTGTTCATTATTTGTGTCTTTTAAGTTTTCAGTGCTAAATTCACTCAATATTCATCTTAATTCACATCCACCTTTATTGCCCTTTTATTGCAAATTTGTTCCTTGAGTGTCATTGCTTTCTATAACTGCTTTTATAAATAAGGCATACTTTCTTTTAATCTTTGATTATCTTAACTTTTCCGACTTGATGTAATTTGCCGTACATCTTTGATCGTCTGCTTGCCTTGTTTTTCAGTTGAATAATGATTCAATGGAAGGAATATTTTTTCTACACGGATGTATGTTATGCTTGAAATGTATTATGTTTCTATTTTCTGTCCTTTAATTTCTTATTTATATTACTTCCCAAACAACATAAATACCATTTTATTGATTCCGAAGTTTTAGGCCTGTGGAAACATAAAAAAAAGAATAAGAGAGTGTGTGTTCAGAATCGGTCAATGCAACAATTGGCCTATTTTCAATTATCTAGGCCTTGATGCCTTTACTGCTGACGCCAAACTGAAGAATACAATAAGTTAAATAAAAAAGCTGACTTACCACCCTTGCTGCAACAAAACGGATTTGAAAGATTTTGACCAAGTTAAGGCTAAACTGTCTGCAGTTGTTGAGTTTCGGATGGATATATGCAATAAAGTGGGGTTTAGCGTACTATTTTCTGCACCAATCGGGGAAATGATGACGGTGGGATCGATAATCTGCTAATAAATTACCATTGGACCTAAAATCTTTGTTTATCTGATATCGTGCCATTTTTCAGTCAGTAATAATGACTAATTTCTTTTATTAGAATTCCTTATGTATTCTTCATTCGGTGTTGCGGATCAACTAAAGAAGAAAGATATCTATGTTAAAATTATATTTGGAATACGTTTTGACCAGTTCTATTGCATATCTAAAATAGATGGACCCCCCAACAGTGTCCTCTGAAATGATACAAAACAACAACTCATTAAGCTGTCTGCCCAGCGTTTATTCCTCAATTTACATGTAATTTGTTGTGTTGGGAGTGATGGTGACCAATGTTTATTTAAATTTTGCACTGTTTTATGCCCCGACATTAACGGTAATTGTGTGCTGGTCGATTGAGCATGTATAATTAAAATCGTCTATTAGATGGTACATTTGATTTGTCTTTTAAAAAAAAGGGTATAATCCAACGTCCTTTAAAACCTTACAAGTTCAACGTATATAATTTTCAACTAAGGGATGTATATTTCGTTGTTTATATAGAACTTTAATGATACTATATTTTGAGTAAATATGCTAATCACGATATATTTTAATGTTGAGAAATAACACATGAACAAAAATCAAGACATTCTTTGAAATATTACCATATATCTGAAACTCAATAAATAAAATACAGTAGCCCATCATCGATGCTGAAGGTTATTCAGATTCAAAGATCGTAACTACAAAGAAAGAAGTTGACAGTGCCATGGTAACGTACTAAAATAACAGAAGTATCAAAGACAATGTCGTATAAGGTGTTCCGAAACGAGTAAGCAAACTCTACGTTTCGCACGACACCCGTCGCTTACACTACAACCCTTTCCCATATTAAACATCAGCATCCATGTGGGAAACAACATCAAAAATATAACCTTTTATATACTAATAACATATTTAATAACACCCTTGTATTTGATCCAGTAAATTACATTCGTGATAAATATTTAAGCAAACAGAAAGAATGTCCTTGACAAAAGAAAAAAAAGAGATTATTTAACATTTTCATGTAAAAGAGTTGGTAGGAAAACAATTGTAGCGATCTTCGGTGGTATTTTAATAAACAACAGCTAAAACAGATTTAATTATGCACAGATACACCAGAAAAAAACGTAACGGAATGTTCGAGCACCGAGGTTTCTAAATTGGACATAAAAGCCACGAAACTTAAATCATAATTATAACATTAGTAATAAAATAAAATTAATCAAAACAGTTCTAGAAATTATTGTACGATGAATGAAAATGTTCAATGTTTTCAAGACACTCGAGTCATTCAGATACGAGTTAATAATGGTAGGTAGATATACTGAAACACAATAACATTATTGCCTTATTCTCACAGTTCTTTTTCATTGTCGCTGTATATATTCAGAGACACTTGTGTTGGTCTATTGTCATTATTCTAAAAGTCAAAATCTAATAGTTAGCCTTATAATACATGTGTATGTCATGGGTGAAATTTTTGACCCAAGTCAGGATTTACTGAAGAGCAAAGACGCCTCTGGCAGAATTTCTTTCTTAGTTTAAACAATAACACCGTCTTCAGTATTATGCTGATTCAAGAGACGAAGCACCATTAGAATACTTGATAATCATGGTTGACTTCATGGAACCATTACCAGCACAGTAGCCTTAAGAATTTAGAGAACAAGGGTTGTTTACAGACCGAGAGAGTTGACTTTTTCGGCGTCTTCTGAGCGTATTATGCAGACGTAGATAGCTGCCCTTAGGCTTTTTCCGTCTCTTCAGCCTGAAAGAAAAAAGAATAGAAGATAATTAATGATTGTGTAGAATTTATCATATACATCACCCGACCATAATTATTTCATAAGGCCAAACAAATTTCATTTTTAGTTCTTCGGGGGTCTTGATCAATAAACAACCCACTCAATTGTTGTGTGCAATATTTCGTTAATATCTCAAAGCATTAATTTCTTTCCTGAAGGCCAAATTTTTAATAGACGTTCCCGAAGAACAGAAATTCAAAGTGGTGTGATCTAATGTTAGGACGTTATATTGTTATTGCTATATTCTTGCTTATACTTAAGGCACCTTTATGCATAATACACCAGACGCAGTTTACTTGCAATAGAAACGGACGTCAAAAGGGATATATTATACTGGAAACGGATGTTGCTGTGTATGTCTCTGTGTTTGTGTTTGTGCGGGAGATGGAGGTGGCGCAAACATTCTTAAAACGGGATTCACATAAATCGCAGATTGAGATTAATTTCAAGAAAATGGCGGTATCAGCAGTTACGATTTCCGTCAATAATTGGTTTAGCAAACGAAAAAAAAAAACAAAAAAAAAACATACTAAACAATGACATTACATTTACATGTATATAACTATATTGAAGAATAATATGCTATATTTACAGATTACAGAGTCGGATGTTTTTGTTTAATTTTTTGCTCAAGCAAGTGCTGCTTTAAATATACAGTTACCGGTTTCTCCGCACTGTCAAGGTTTTTTCTCAAAGTTGAGCTAACCGTTGACATTTCTTATCGGAATTGATCACATTTGTTTCGTATCTGCTATTACCTTTCCCGTTGACAAATTTGTTCTAAGCGTGAGTTGGAACAAGGCATCTCGTTGTAAATATAAACGAGGCTGTACAACATCGATATCTCTGGGCCCCTTTTCTGGTCCTATCTGGGGCCTATTTCACGAAATTTTAACTAAGATAAAATCCAAATTTTAGTAATTTGATTGGAAAATATTAGATTGATTTTAGCGCTAAGCCAAATCAAATTGAAGTATACATCTACTAAAATTTTGATTTTATCTTTAGGTTAAGATTTCGTGAAACAGAGCCCTTGGCAATGGAAACACCCTTTTTCGTTTAAACATATAATTCCATTACTTCCAGGGATAGTTTTTTCGAAGCGTACGGGCCCGGTGATGGGTGTTGGGTGTGTGTGTGGGGTGGTGTTGGGTGTGTGTGTGTGTGTGTGGGGGGGGGGGGGGGTGAGACCTGAAATGCCCGAAAAAATTTCGCTTTACAGACGGCGGCACCGAGCTTATCGTGTAGGGGCCTCTGCAAGAAAGTTGGGAAAACTGTACGGCTGCAAAGCCCTTTTTCTGCTGGTCCAACCCGTTAATACAACTACTTCAATGTGATCTTAATTGGCTGACCAGAATTCCAAACAACCAATCAATCATTTAGTCCACGGAGCCGCCGTCGGTCGTCCCTGAGCAAATTTTGAAAATGTAACCGACCTGAATTCCAATCAGACTGTTGGGTCTGCATTCACAAATAACAATTAATACCCGAAAAATTTCACACAAAGTAATGTGGCTCCAGACAAAATCTTTTAATCCATAGTCAATTCAGTACAAATTCGAGGTATTCAATTAAATAGTAGAATTAGTGTTTATTAGATTTCGGGTACTTTATTTGACCAACTAGATGATATTTTGCCAGGTAGAGTGGCTCTAGATAGTGTTTTAATCCATAGTCAATTCAGTACAAATTCGTGGTATTCAATAAACAGAAAAGAAAAATTAGTGTTTAACCGGACTTTATTTTGCCAACTAGATTATATCATAATGTTTCCCCATTTTACCTGTCTGCCCGAAAACAACAGATTGGACAAAAGTTAATGGGACAACGAGCTTCGTGTTTGTTCTCAAGCAGAGCCTTTTCTAGGCAAACAGCGTAAGTTTCGTATATAAAGCATATTACTATACGTAGTATTTGTTATCTTTATCCAAACACTTCCAATCCCAATAACAACAACAAATCATAAATCCAGTTGAAGTTAATACCCAAATCACAAAACGGTATTTCATAACGTAAATAGTCACGAGAAATAGTAGCAATAATCCACATGACATACGTCGTGTCTTTCCTATGGCCTGACAAAATAACAGGTGGCCGCTTAAACACACGAGCCTACAATCGACGATACCACCATGGCAACAGAAAAGGCAACTTATTTTATTCAAACACATCAAGCTAAAGTAATTGACACTGGAATTCAATAATTCATCTACGAGTTTAAAGATTAAATTAAGCAATTGCAACTAAAACAAATATGTGATTTAAAATGCTTGACAAAATAAAACAAAAATACATTTTGTGTCGTGAATATTTCTCCGACGGAGAAAGCGCCCAGACGTCCATATGGAACGATAATTTTCTAGACACCCTTGAGTATAAACTAAAACATACAAGTTTTACTCCAAACGTTTGCCGAATTTAAAATAAAATCATAATAATATTAGATATTCTTATATTTCTAGTATCTGTTCATCATTTGAGTTTAAATCCCTTGCAAACTACTGTGAAAGTTGAATCTCTGAAAGGGATATGTGTTCAAAATGGTTCAATTCTATTAAAGAAATGACACACTGAAAATTTGTCAACCTTCGACACCCTCTGCTTACGATATAAACAAGTTATGGTGAAAACAAGCCAGCACCATCCATAATTTATTTTTAATTCGATTAAATCCCAGAGGAGAGTTTATCGTCAATATCTTGATTTTGTTCTCTTATTTAAATGATAAGTAATTAATCGGAGTATATTTCAGCTTGGATTGAGACCTTAAACATTAGATATTGTCCGAAAATGCAAATGACGAACACCGACTGGAAATAAGATTTCTTTATTTAATTTTTCTTGAGGTAAAATAAGAATTTGTATAAAATCGCTTGTCATTTTAAAAATAACTTTTTTCCTTCCATTTCTCCTTAGATTCCTGGCATACTGATCAAACCACTCAGGGACTAATATTGTATTTAATAGGATGTAAAACTGTTTCAGGCATAATACAATAATAAAAACCATTATCTTTCATTTCATGTGCAGCATTATTATTTTAGAGATATGAACCAGTTAAACTATAATATAATAAAATAGGAAATTACTTGATTCAAGACCCCATACCACACAATGAGAACTATCTACCTTTGGAATTTGTTCTCAAGCGGAGCTAATTGTAGACAGACAGCGTAACTTTCGTATCTGGAAACAGTATTATATCGATTATCGACGGTTGACGTTATTTATCATGGATTGGCCCTGTGTCTACGATTTGGACGCAACGCATTACCGGACAGAGAATCCCGATATCTTTACGTCAAGTTGCTTTTGAAACGCCGAAACATGTTTTCAATAGTACCGCTTTCTGCGGTTTTCTACCCCTGAAATAATAATCACGTAACTCAAGATTTGTCGCTACACTTATAACTAGCTGTAAGTACCCCTACTCGGTTACTACTACAACCATTCCCGTACAATTATTTTCGATCCGACCAACGAGCCACTCTAGCGACCCTTTTCATTACTGACACTAGGTATATATAATCAGAAATTTCTATGCAACCTGTGTAAGTTTCATTTATACCAAGGGAAAGGTGTGGAGTCATTCGGATGGGACAAAAACTAAGGCTTACCCACGTGTACTCGTCACTCCTGAGAGTTGGAAATCGATGAAGAGTAAGCGAAACATCGCTGTTGAGTTAAAATATCCCCATAACACACTGCGTGGCATATGTCCTTTTTCCTTAGGTCTGTTAATGCACAAAAGTTGGTTTAAAACTATTTTATTTCATTTGACAAACATATTTACCATTGGTTTGAAATTCGGTTTCAGTCACATGGCAAAACACTTTATTTATGGTCTATTCGGTGTTCCTATACAAACCGATTAATTTGAAACTACTGCCTTCTTGTGTTGTAATTATCATTCAAAATTAACACCCACCCATCCCACGAAGACCACAAAACACATGAAATATAAACAAAAAGGGGCGCTTAATCTTCCTTTATGTTCGTTTCCGACTGTCGTGCGATGCGTTACGATAGGATTGTCCCTATTGAGTCCACGATCTGGTACGTGCAGAAACGTTCGGATACGTTTCGATACGATCAACACGATTGCTACGACTGACGTCAATATAATAATAAGACCTGATAGGATCACTACGATTACTCAACGATTAAAACAAGGATTTCAATTGTAGCGCGAATCGTGATAGGTGGGACCTAGCATTAAACGCATTTAGTACCTAGCATTAACGGAATTTAGTACCTGGATAGAGCAATAAACTATAACACATACTTATGGAAGAATAGTTATTAATTTATTTGGGCGACGTTCCTCAAGTTTATTGAGTGTTTAATCAATCTGGAAAATTAATAATTTTCTTTTGTTCTGACAGAAATACAACTTTCCCCTTCAACACAGGATATTATCAAATGCGGGCCCGTCACTTCCTACATATTCCACAGATCTATAGATACTTCACGTGATTGATGTCAGTGGGAATCGGGCTGATTAGTGTGTTCTATAAAACGGGTAGATAATGGATAGGCAATGGATTAATAACCCCTGAAAACTTTAGTTGTGTGACTTATAACAGGATATAGCAAGTTATCACCAGGACTGCGTTCTTGTCTCATACCTTTGATCAGCGTAATTCATAATTACAACTGCCAACTTTCCATTTGTCTTACTCACTTTAAAGGTATGGCGAGGCTTTAAAAGAAGACGGAATAACAGTGGAAATAAACAGATCAAAGGTAAACTGGATTAAATGTAGTATAAGACATTGAGGTCGATAAACTAGAAAATGTCTTGAATGTAACAGCTATTGGCCGAGCATAGCCAGACTATAAAATATTTAGGTTTAGGATTATTACCAGGCGAAGAAAGGCATTGAAATATAGTTAAACATGCATTATGCAAGAGCTAAATCTGATTATTGCAAGTCTTAATTTAGGCTTCAGATGTTATAGA